ACAGAGGTGGTAATTCATATCAATTTGACAGATAAAGATAATGCTTTGGATTTTCTTCAGGAGGAAAGCTAATTAATCCCAAGAGACTCATAGCAGCATTCAGTTTACAATGGGAACATCTTCGGCAGTTATCTGTCTTTGCCAATGCATTCTTATATAAAGTTAAGGAATCTACACCACCACCCAGCTCCAAACCAAGGGACATAGAGAAACAAACTTAGCATCAAAATATTTCTTTTGTCTTTCTGCCTATTGAACTACCATACCAAATTAAATCTTAATTGGGCAACCATTAAAACAGTTAATTATTAGGAAAATACAGAAAATTTGTGGACGGAAGAGTGACAGACGGACAGACAGACAGACAGACAGACAGACAGACGGACAGACAGAGTTATTTATATAGGGCACCCGCAAATCCTTGTGGGGCCCTAATAATTCAAATATGTCATTCTCTTCTGATTTCTACATTGTTTTCAAAATGTTTTTAAATATAAGTACACTAAAAATTGTGTTAAAGGCCATTCAGAAGATATAACCTATAAGGGATACATAAGAAATATAACACCGTGGTATCTTATCCAAATGCCTGGTAAGCTACCCTAATTTTTTGTGAGGAATTTCGTTTAGGTACCTAGACTTCAATGACAAATTTTTAGGGAAAAAAAATGAGGAATGTGTCATCTGACCTTAATATGTTTACCTTGACAGTTCACTTTTAGTTCTGTTTAATTCGTCCCCTGCATATAGTAGTTTATGTTCTTTTTCAGCAACATCTTTCTTTGTTCTTGCATGTATTTCCTCTTGATGTTTTTCCAAGTTTTTTTTCTCAGTTTGCAGCCTTAAAGTTTAAATATGGCTTGTAAAATAAAGGGTTTGTATTTTCTACATTATAAGAATACACACACCTTTAAAAGCATAACTTAGCGTAAATGCATTTTGACAAGTGAAAATGCCCATCTAATTCAATACGAGAGAATTTTTGGATGAATATTACTTTGCTTTAAGTTTATTAATTAAAAGTTCTGCCTATTTAATTGTTTGAATACTTCAAGATTAAAGGTCAATTAACCTATTAAGATGCAGCTGCAGATCTCTTATTTCTTCCTTTTTCTCTTTTACTTCTTTATCAGCACTGAAGAAACGCTGTTCAAAAATCATCTTTTCTTCCATGACCAACTTTAGTCTGGCGGCTTCTTCATGGAGTCTAAAATAATATAATATATTAATCAGATTTTAACACTCTACATACTAGAAAAATTATCATTTAATACAATCAATATACATTAAATATAAATGACCGCCATATAATGTTATCATCTGTAGCTTTTATTAGTTAGGGTTCTGCTAGAAGGGACACATTTTCATGAGATAAATGTAACTCGCTTTTCTTTTCTATCTCCTTCCTGAATTTATTTTCTTCTTGTAGGTTTTAGTTTGAAAGACCCAAAAGTCGTTTCCTACTCCAACTCATAAAAATTTAACTTTGAAATTATTGACAATAGTGCGATAAGAAAAAGGCTTCATATGAAGCAAATGTGTTTTAAATACCAGATGTTATGAAAATCAACACAAGGCCTTTTTTCTCAATGTTTGATAAATCTCACATATCTTTCTTTCAATAAATCTTTCTTTATTAAATATTGCAGAGGGTAATTTTCAAGGTAATGGAAACGTTTTGTTTACTTTCTCTCTGAAAAAAAATCACGGACTGACATTTGTATAACATGCTTCAAATATATAATCTTTTTTAAATACATGCTCCTTCCAATTGTACTTGCTTTAAGAATACATGAAGATGTCCTTTTGTCAAAGAAAGATATGCTAGGAGCAGACATTTTACACTTTTCCCAGGGTAATTCTCATGATATCAAGTGAAAAATAAAGCGTACAAAACGCATACACAACGAACGTAGCATTTCTTCGTTTGATTATTAAACAGATATATTAATTTTACTTGATCCAAAATGTCGGTTTTTGTTAATAAAAATAATTATTTCAAACAAAATCATATTATACTCTTGTTTCAGTGCTGAAATTTCCTTTTCCTTTGCTATCAACATGTTGTTTCCCCGACTCTTCTCTTCTCTGGCAATATAATAATCTTCTTGATATTTTTTCATCCTATCAGAAATTATTTATTAAAACAGAAAAAAATGAAAGAAAATATTCTTAATTTATTTCAGTTAAAAACTCTGCAAGAACACAACATTATCAATGGTTTTGTACGATTTCATTAAACTTCACTTTCCATTTACTGGATATCTTGGGCGTAAATTAGTTTTCTTACACATAGAAATCTTTGCCTATTTTTTTCTAAAAATTTTAACCATTCAACACTACATATATACATTATGATTTCAGTATTTTCTTTTACATGTCTGTGTAAATGAAATTAAAACAAACGCTTACACAAAGTACTTAATTATTAAGGCGGCATTCTTTTTAAAAAAAAATTGTTTAACCTTTCGATTTCTTCTTTAAGTGCAAAGTTTTCTTCATCCACTATTGCGAGTGCCTTTTCAAATTCTGACCTACGATTGTCAGCGTCCCTTTTCTCTTCCTCAATTTGTTCACATTTCTTTTGCAAGGAGTTCAACCTAAATTTTCATATTTTAGAAAATCCTTAAAATTTTATGTCATTTGAAAACATCAATTAGTGACTTAAAAAAAATTATGTCTGAACATACTTGTCTTTGGTGTTCATCAACTCCTTTTGAGTATTTTCCATTTGAAAGCGTAGGTTTTCGGAAATATTTTGATTGTTTTTCTCTCCATTATTTATTTCTTCCTTCATTCTCTCCATTTCTGTTTTTAACCTGTGAATCAATTACTATGATATAATATGAACGCTGCAATATTGTACCTACAGGAAAATTGGTTCTGAAAATAATGTAACTAACAAAAAGAACAATGTATATTTAAAAAATTGTTATTTATGTTACATATACATGTATGTCTCAATCTCAATTTTTTACTCTAAATTTTCTATCAATTAAATACTTTTATAAATAAAGAGTTTGTTTAATCTTTGGCAGGTTTTGATGAAAACACAGATTTTATCATGCAATGAGAAAAAAAATTAAAAAATGTCATAAAAACCCTACCTTTTCCTTTCATTACTTAGCTCCCTGATGTGCTTCTCTTTAGATTGCAAGGTATATTCCATTTCTTCTGCTTCTGTTTTCATGGTTTGCTTTTCTTTTAAAATAATTTCCATGTCTAATTTCACTGACTGCATTCTAAGAAATGTATATAAAAAATTAAATTAATTCTGGTGCAGAAAATGCTCACCATAAACTTTATCATGAATTTGCACAGGAATCAACAAGTATCTATCCTAGTCAGTCCCTTAAAAATAGAGAAAATTGAAAAATATTTATTCAAGGGGATTTGTTTCTCAAACGAAGAATGCATCATATGACCTAATTATACAAATCAGTATAATACCTGTCATTTAGAACTCCAATCTCATTCAGTAGTGCATGTTTTTCACTTTCGAGAAAATACCAATCATCAGCTTTTTTTATCTCCGACTGTACACTCTGTTGCAAATCTCTTGAAAGCCTTACAAATAAATAGTCATTTTAACCCCATCTTTTCAATTTAATGATGTAAATCATGAATATAAAAAAGATAAGAATTCATAAAGCATGTAAATTTCATAAAATAAAGGAGTTTTACTGTGAAAGTCCATGCTCTAATTCTGCGTTATTCCTCTTCAGGTCATCTATTTCCTTAAGCATTTTTCTTTCAGCAATTTCTTTTCTATAAATGCAATAATTCTCAAGAAAGTTAACAAATATTCATGTCTTTAAAATACTAATTATTTACAAAAAAGATAACTTCCAAATTATTTTATCTATGTCATAAATTTTCTAATGAAACTTACTCCAACACTTCTTGTCGCAGTCTGTTATTCTCCTCCTTTTCTTCAAAAATTTCCATTTCAAGATTCCCAAACCTACAATTAAATTTAATTTTTTGGCAATTTTTCATGCTTAATTAATTGAATTAAGTAATATCCTCTTTCGATGATCTTTTCTAAAGGTATTTACTTTCTTTTATTAAGGGATACAATTTTATCTGTTCTTTTAAATCTCATGTAAATATACAAAAATAGGGAAAAAGTAAAGAAAAAATATATTTTAAAATTAAAAGCATTTACGTATTTTACCTTTAAAATTCATGTTTATCTTTTTTGTTTTATTTCTTTGAAAATGACAAACCTTTTAATCTTCTCCTTTTCCTCTTTCAATCTAATTAAAATCAATAAGGAAAATAATGTTCAATGCATTTCAAGATAGAGATTTAATCAAGGAGAAAAAAGTTTTTGTTTTGAAAGCTCATTACGAAAAATACATTGAGGAAAAATACGTATGAATTCAACAAAAAATGGTTGTTATTCTAAAGAATCTAATCTGCATAAATTAAAAAATTCTAATATCCAAATTGAACTTTAACAGATTTAATCTTCCCCAAAGACCTAGTTCAAGAACAATATTAAAACTTTCAATACTTCAATATGCTGAGGTAAAATTAAGAAATAAACTGTAGCCTCTTTTCTGACAAGATTTTTTATTTAATTCAAGAAAATGTATTCTTTGACATGGATTCAGGGCAAGATTATGTTTTAGCTAAAATTGTTTGCTATTAAAACATCCCTTTTAATTGATATATTTATCTTGTTATAGATATTGATTATTGTTTATTTCGTTTCGAGTCATATAGCAAGCCTACATTAAAATCACAGAACCTTTTCTCTGAGCTGTTGTATTCTTTTTTCAATTTATCATATCTCGATTGCAGATCAGTCAACTCTTCTTTTAAGGATTGGTGTTCTATATCTTTATCTTTCATTTTTCGTGGGTAACCTTTACACTCTGCCTTTAAACTGTCAAAAGAAATCCTTGTCAAACGAACAAAACAAAATTGCATAATATAATAAGCATTTAGATAAAAACAATTTCTTTGTAGAACACTTAAAAAGTGTTAATACAAGACAGAACATCAATCAAAATAAGAAAATATTTCGAAGGCAATTTCTTAGTTAGGTAGGGTCTATAAGTCTTAAAAGGCCCTTTACATATAATCAAATTCCTAAAAAAAATAAGACATGTTATCCGAATAAAAAAATTATTTAGTACTAACCTTTCGATTTCATGTTTGAGTGATGCAATTTTGCTGTCTTTACTTTGGAGCATCTGGTTCACATTTGCCTTCTGTTCATTATATCTATTAAGGAATCATAAAAACATCAAAGAGAAATTACTATGACATTCCTATAATACAAAATATCATGTAGTTAACTGATTACATTTCCTTTGAATTAACTTCTGTTACGTGTACATCATTTGGTTAGTAAACCTATTTTGAAGTAAAAAATGAAGATACCAAACATTTATCAATCTCATAAATGAATCGTAAATATGGCAAAAAGGAGATACATGTACTACGAAATACCAGTTAGGGAATCAGATCTCTAGGAGAAAGCAACCCGTATCGACTAAGCACAAAAATTGTGAGCCAACTCAAGTATTGATAAGTTAATAGAGAGTTCTCTGTTATAAAATTTACTATAAAACAATGACTTTCGAAATGTTATATAAATCACGTCAGACATAATAACACCCTACCGATGATAAATACTTACAAACGAGATCTTAATAATAATCGTAGAATATACAAAAGCAACTTTTTAAAAGGTTGTTGAAATCCCTGTTACAGCAACTTATTTGTCGGTAGATAGTCTTAGTTTAAAAAATGATCAGATTTAGAGCATGCTCCTGCGTATTAAACCAACTGAGAGACAGAATATGTGTGATTTTTGAAAGCTTCAACATTGATAAAAAGTTGGATGATGAAATGGCTGGAGGCATTTGTTTGTCTTACGATTGAGACACTAATTAAATAGTTTATTTTTGTCTTTAAATAGAAAACATACGAAACAGGCTGAAAACTGTGTGGTGCAATGTTTCAATTTTCGAGCAAGTTTTTTTTCCTTATAATTAAGATTTTTCTTAAGGTATTAATACGTTAGAAGACCCACAGGCATGCTTATGAAGCTATATTAGGACCAAGACATATCTTTAGGCGAACTTATGACACGTCTACGTCTTAAAAGTGCTTAAACACAGATTTGAAGTTGATATTCTCTAAAATTTTCTGTATAATATCCCGACTTATTTATTGCAATAGTATTTCACACGAAGATATCTCATTTCATCTCGAAGTTATTAAAACTTCAAATTTCATTTTTTAATTGATTGATACGTCCTTCCACTTTCACAAATTATACTGAAAGGAAAAAGAAACGCAGGGTAAACTTTTGAGGTGAATTAAATTTGTTTTTCTTAAAATATGTTTTAGTTTTTATATCTAACTTTTAAAATCATCTTCCAAAAAGATATAACCTAATTCCCATTTGATTTTGTCGAATAATTCATGAGTTACTGAAGCTCAAATGACGATACCCCCCAAAAGTGAAAATCGAAAACACTCATTATCTTCAATGTCTCTCCCATGCATCAGCCAGAGCCTTATTTTTCCTTTGCATGGAATTTCATTAGGGTGTTTATCTTTCAGACCCTGGCTATATTTGGCATGGGTAACCACGCAAAAAAATTAGTCAAACTGCGCGCGCATGCGCCAGTGAGAGGAGTAAAGCAGTAAGTTGACTGGCTCAAAAAATCAATTTGCAGAAATGTTTTCTTTCAAATTTCGTATGAATGTAATGATTATAATCATCTACTGTATAAATGGCTGTTTTTGTGGTAGTAAGGTGGCGATTTAAGAGATGGCAGGACGAATAACCCGCTCGTAACATGGCTCTGTTTCGCGTTAACGTCATCGTCACGGTTTATTGAAAAACATTCCAGACCCTCTCTGACAACGGGTAACAAGTTTTATGGGGGAAAATTTACAAGAAACTGCTCAGTAAACCGTTGTTGCCTTTTTCAATAATTAGGCAATTCGAAAACAAGACCCCATTGAACTTCCGTAAACTGTGCCAAGATTGTAAGAAATTCATAATATCTCTTAATATTGAAAAACGATGTGCATACCTCATATGCATCAAATAATGCAAGAAAATTTGTTGACAAACTCGTCGTTAAAAAATTGCACGTGTTTTGGGCTTTTTAGCGTTTTGCTTACGTGACGTCATAAATTTTACGGTTGAGTAATTCTGAATACTGATTTTGGTGCACAGCAACTAAATTTCTTTTCTGACCAATTTTTCGTAATTTTCGGTCATGTGGTCAAAATTTTTTCGAACATTATGCTACCCTGCGTTTCTTTTTCCTTTCAGTATATAATTTTATTCTCAACACTTATGATTGATTGATTGATTGTTTGTTTACTGTTTGACGTCCCTCTCTAGAATATTTCACTGATATGGAGACGTCACCATTGCCGGTGAAGGGCTGCAAATTTAGGCCTATGCTCGGCACTTACGGCCTTTGAGCAGGGAGGGATCTTTATCGTGCCACACCTGCTGTGACACGGGGCCTCGGTTTATACGGTCTCATCCGAAGGACCACCCCATTTAGTCGCCTTTTACGACAAGCATGGGGGTACTGGGGACCTATTCTATCCCGTATACCCACGGGGTTCAACACTTAAGAAAAGTGGCAAATAAGTTGTGTTTTAATGAAAAATATTAAAACTATAATACAGAAAATTTAGAGTAGAAATGTTCGAAAGGACAAAGATGAAGAGGGAAAATTTGTTCATCAACTTGTGACAAACAACGATAAGAAATGATTATTTTGTCTCACTTCTTTTTTAATTTACTTATCCAGTAATATAAGTAACTATGGAGAGAGAATGTACTTTTCATGTATATACAGTATATTAACTGCAGTTCTTTAGCTCGCTGGTCTGAAAAAATAAACGACCGAAAAGCAATGGTGCCACCCATTGAACAAAAGTGTATATTTATTGAGCGCAAAAAGTGCGCTGTTTCTCAATATTTTTTCTCTGCATATACATGTATCAAAAAAATAATATTTTTGCTTTCCTAATATTTTCTTTTACTACTTTCAAAACAAAATTGTATGTAAAAGTCATATATAAGCAGTGTGTTCGACCGAATTGTCTTGCAACCCGAGATGGCAGTGTAGTTGACGAAATTTTCGAAGGTCTCAATTTCAGGTCCAGGAGAGTATTAACAGTTTGAGGGGAAAGGTAAATTCTTTAATAACATTTTGTAATCATTTGGGTATGTTTTTGAGATTGAAAACATTCTGACAAAGCCCTCTGAAAAATATTTACAAATTTAGGGTAAAAAATTGACTAAAATAATAGAGTTCACTTGCCTATATTTTATTCTATTAAAATTGACTTATTTTTTTATTTCAATTGAATAGAAAAAAAAATGTTTTTGAGAAACACTGTTTAATACTGTTTAGTCTACGATGTTAAATAAGTATTTTTCAGATTTTTCATATTCTCTTTAAGAAAGGTACCACTAAGAATAACTGAAAATGTGAAATCGCAGTATGTTAAAACTATTCTAAGTTTCAGAGTCTGCACTACATTTAATAACAAGAAAACATAACATGTGCTTTTAACTGGTTGATAAGCGAGTGCCAATTTCATTTGATAAGTTTGAAAATCTTTGAGGACTTTACCAACATAGGTTCTACCTTAAGTTGAATTTGGAAAAAAAATACATGCACTTATCAATCGTTAATCCAAGCATTTTTCTAAAAGGAGAGTCCACTAAAAGGCCCACTAAATACTTAAATACTGACTCACAAATGTTTTTGATAAGGAAGGAATATAAAAACGGTAATAGTATCCAAACTTGAAATTGTCAGTTGTCCAGGGAGGAGGGATTAACAGATATACTTTTATGAACTCAGAGGGAAACGCACCCCCCCCCCCCACACACACACATACACCACCACCACCACCATCTACATTTGCACATGTAAATGATGGAAACTTAAAATTGTAAATTCATTTGGTGCTTATTTTACAAAAAAGAAAATACCTAAGATGGAATTTCGACATCTTAACTAAAGACATTTTAAAGATGCTTTTGTTTTACACCCTAAGACCTATCTTAAGATATTCCTAAGACATGTCCTAATTACGAAATATCCTAAGTCTCATCCTAAAACGCATCTTAGGAAAATTTCATAATTAAGCATACCTGCTGGTCTCTAAGGACTTCAAAGCATTCTTTTCAATTTATCGTGATGAACTGTTGTATTAAAGATAGGAAAGCCATATGTTTAATGCTTTTGAAATTTTTACAAACTGGAATGTACCTTATATATAGAAGTGTTTATAAGTTTGTCTTGCTCTCATTTACAGGAGTTTTAATTATGCCTTCCTTTAAAGAATTGGGAAACTCTTCACTTTGTCGCACATTAAACACGCTTATTTTTTTGGTGCATTTACTTTAAAAAAAAAAGAATTCTTTGTAGCGTAGAATGGTAAGAATTGTGCTTCATGATCAAGGTGTGCTCAATTCCTATTCCTTTTTAGACTAAAACATAAAGGAATAATTCACGTTTAATGACTGTTTCTTGCCAAAAGAACGTCAATGAAGGATATGGAGATGACGAACAGTATTCAAGATCCAAAGTCCAGAAAACAAAAAACAAAAATAGGAGCAGAGCAAACACGGACCTCCGAAACATCGGAGGTGGGATCAGGTGTCCATGGAGGATTGAGCATCCCCTGCCGAACAATCACACCCGCCGTGTGCTCCTTTTCATGATCAGGAAATAACAGGAAAACCCGTCGTCAATTTAGTTTACTTAATAAATAATGGACAAACAATTAGTATGAATAACGCCAGTCAGCATTTCACTCAATGATAAATTGTATCTGCTGACAAGGTTATTGTATAGACCATAGAACTTTTGAAATGATGACTTGAAACGAGATTGCTGATATTTTTGTTTCATCAACTTGGTTGTCAATAATTTACCTCGTTTTAGAAATTGTTCATACGTAGAGCATGTTGCGTTTCGAATTAACAGATATATAAACTCCGTAGACAGGCGATGAAGATATATTACTGCATAAGTAAGGTAATTTGACGGTAGAAAAATGAAAAGTCATCACGTTTGTCATAGAGCTAGGTCGTTAGATTACCATGATTAACGTCTTTTTTCAAGTAATATGTTCAGTTATAAAACAGATGTGTCAGACTCTGTTGTATCTGTTATTTCAAGCTCATCAGGATGTATCGTATCGACATAGGAATGAATATTACAATTGTTAATTGACCATACGCCATCGATATATCTTAATGTCGAGTTAAAGGCCACAGCAAATATTTTGCTCTTTTGATGCATAAGATTTTGCATAAATTCTGCTTCATATGAAAAAAATAGGTCTGCTCTAGATCTCTCATTGTTATGGCACCAAATGTCATGCATAGATCATCTATATAGTGCTCAAAATTCTTTAATGTCATAAAAAGCAGTTTTTATGGGTGAAAGATTATTTAATAAGGCGTTAAACAATACAAAACCAATTAATCTCTATAAAGTTAATTTTACACAATATAAGTACTCACTCTTTGCATTCCCCTTTCATTTGACCTATTTCCAACTCCTTTTGCTTCAGCTCAGCTTTAAACTGCTTTATCTTCGTATCACAATTTTGTTTCCTAATAAAACATAGATTTATATTATGCCATTTCTTTGATTTTCTTTAATTACGAAAAAAGGTATATTTTTTGCTGAAAAGTTTCGGTTTTGTACGGTTCCCCTTTTTGTTTTTATTCTTTTTACTTGTTTTGTAGGTCTTTCAACTAATTTTTCAAGTTGCACATATGGTAAAAAACATTTCAGAGATTGATTTAAAGATACATAAAATTTTCAAAAAAGATAATAATCTATGCATACCTTTAATTAAATCATTAAAAAGTTTAATTATTTGTTTTCGACTATTTCGATGTTGTGTTTTAAGGACAGGTAGCTAAAATGTGAAAAATGATCAATTAAGTGCTGATTTATCAGTTATCGTTTATAGAAATGACATATAGGCTGCTTCAGCATTGGTATTGTTATGTACACGAACGGGTTACCGGTTTCTTACATTGTTTTTTTACACAAAAGTGTTGACCAAAAGAATGTCTTCACTCTACGTGAAATAAAAGGGTCAAATGAATTGGGAACAGACTATATTCAACAATTTTAACTCTCTTTGACGATTGTTATGAAAAAGAAAATATGATGTCATGTTTTTTGTGTGCACACTTTTGCGCTTCCTATATAAACATACATATTTTTACAAGTAAATGCAACAATCAATTATCTTATTTGTGTTACTAAGCACGAAGAAGAACGACCGAGTAAAGGAATTTAATCAGTTAAAATTTAGAAGGGGGTAGAATTCACTTTATATTTTAAATAGAATTTTACTTATATGTAATTAATTATATGTGTCCGCAAGTATATAGTAAATAAGTTTAACAGTAGTGCTAAATTTTAAAACCATTGGATTCTACTGACAGCAAAGAAACACTTAGGAAATGCTAAAAACTGACTTGTGTGTAAACAGTTCGATACCTCGGATCTTCTCTAAACAAGTTTTGGCAACGATTTATCGTTCATAACAGCAAACCCTAGCGGCAGTTGAAAGGTCTAGTTTTCGGAAGAATAATTTTGATACAAATTCTTCCCTTTTCTCACATTTTTGTTTCTGCATTGTCCTATTAAAAATATTGAATTCATCTTTCTGAAGTGTTTTTAAATATTAAAAAAACACAATTGCAATGAGACTAGAAAAAATGTGCCTTTTCAGAGAGGTCCTACTGTGGTCGTTTTTAGGGGGAAAACGTTATTTTGTACATAAATTGATTTATTTAGTACACATTCCTTCAAAGGGAGCTTAAACCATATATTTTAGCCCCAATAAAAGCTAAATTTTGAAAATCAGACTCTTGAAAACTTTTAAATAACCACAAAAAAACATAATTTTATTTATATTGACATTATTTTTCTCCAAACTATTTTGATTTTCTGTAATTTTCGAGAAGAGGGATAAATGCATAAAATTTGTATTGTAAATAAAGAATTTACTGAGCGTACGTTTGCCTCCAGAACAATATTCATACATTACACTGACATTGTTATTCTACAAATTCTATCAAAATATCGAGCTTTGGCAGATCTGCTTTCCTGACTTTTAATAAAAATATCGACGTAAAACATAATTTTTACTTTTAACAGCATTTAAACTTTGAAAGTACGTCATCTTGTTAATGCCTTATCTACAGAACATTTATTTAAGAGTTTAAGAGGCTGGTAATGATCATTTGAGAATATAGTTCTTTGTTAAAAACTGTCACAGCAAAACATTGAACATAAATATTTAATACACTGTACTTCATGTACAACCATAAAAATAAATTGGCAGATTTAATGCAGGGAGTATTTTTCTTACTCTTTCATGCAACTCTTTAATTCGCGCTCTTTCTCGAGCATCTGTTTGTTGATGGCTTCTATCTGTCTCTTCTGCGTTTCGTTTCTGTAACATATGCATTTTTTAAAATTTATAGCGTTTTCATCAAATATGAGATGAAGTTAAATATGTCATATGTTCAGGACAACCTGACCCTAAGCCCTTCCCCATGACAAAAAAAATAAGTTAAGACGTTATGAAATCAAAGAAAACAGAAAAAAAACTAGCAGATTCTTAATGGGAGAAAACAGAGAGTATGTAAATATATACATATTTACTTATCGTGTACTTAAGCAAGTTATGTGTTCAAAAACATTTTCCAGATCATATAAAATAGTTTATTATTAATTTATCTAGCATTTTCAACATGCATTTATAACTTGTCTAGACTAGTGTCTATAAGAAGTCGAAAAAGTTTATAATATTTAGCTATAGGGGGAGATTGGTAAAGATGCCTGGTTACTTTACAAACATAAACGTATTATAATGAAAATTTTAGCTTTCCAAAAACGTTTTCCTTGCTATCATGAAATAATCATAAAATGCAAAATTTTATTAAAGTCCCTCCAATTCAAGTTCTTTTCATTTGTTTTGTCAGAAAATTTGGAGTTAAAGACAACTAAAATGTATTTATTCGATGCTTTTATGCACAAAAAGAGCAGAATAAATTAAATTCAATTTTCAATTCTATATCATATTGGCTTCCTAAAACTCGATCAGCGTTCGCCTTTTTATACTTACTCATTTTCCATTGCTTTACTTTTGTTTTTCAATGATGTCACTTGTTCTCGCATTTTCTCATCTTTCCTTTTATTGGTGATCGCCTCTGATTGTTTTTTCTTATTAACTTCTACAGTGACAGTGGTTTGTTTTGTGAGTCTACAATTTTCAATATGTGTCGATATTTTATTAGTTATATTTGTCTCCCGCAAAAAGCAACAAAGACTTAGCAACAAAACAAGAGGCCCACGGGCCTTTTAGGTCACCTGAGTATCATGTAACAACTTTCCAGCAACTGAATTTGATTTGTGTTTTAAACCAAAAGCCATGAAATTCACAATTTTGAAAAAGACACCATTGTTCATCATTATTATACACTTAGCATGCTTACTTTGGTTCTTTAATACCCAGAGGTAGATCAGATTAACAAAGACAAAATGCATTTCGATTTTATAACCACTACCAACAAGAACCTCTGACTACATTAATTCAAAATTTTGGAAATTTCATCATATAATTTTTTTCATCATAAATGGTTGATAAATACCAAAGAGCAATTTCAAAGCATTAATTTATTTTCAGACAATGCACCCCTCCCCCTCCCCTCGAAACCTGACCCAGGAATATTCCTGAAAATAACCATATTGGAAGGATAATCTTTCTTAATCATAAATATGTACTTAGATCATTGGCATATTACCCAGGAGCAAAAGAAAAGATTTTAAAAGAATTGATGCATTTTCACTATATAATCATTGGAACCCCGCCCTCACACCGGTTTCCCTCATCATAACTATGTACATAGTTCATTGGTTTAAGGTACTCCGATCCTCATGTTTATGAAATTAGCAGTTAAGTAATAAAAAATACTCATAAAAGTATATCTTATTCCACAAAGTTATGTATTTATTTCTTTAAAGTTAAAGACTAAAGTTAATCATATTATATAGGGGAAATTGTTAAATCTCCAATATTTTTGCAGACATAGCGAATTGGAAAAGCAGCTTCACATTTTCTAATTGCAATTTGATAAACAATTATATTCTAGAATAAAAAACGATAGGTATCCAGGCATTCAGAGAAAATATCATGCTTTTTATACTTATTTGCTATCATTATAAGACACCAAAAATCGCTTCTTATTTCATATCATACTAATAAGCATTAGTATCTACGGTTGGATTCAAGAAAATCTTATTTCTTTAAAACCGTATTATTTTTTTTCCTTCCATAGGGTACAAATGTCAACTTTTATAAGACCTCTTCTAAGACTAATAAAAACCTTGAATCTTATAGAGATGATTAAAATGAAAATTGTTGCATGAAATAATTTCATTTTCAAGCTTCATTTTGATGCATTTCAAATTAAATATCAATTTTTGGAGTTATCCTTCCTGGTTGAGGATCGGATATCCTTAATACCCAGGAGCAGAGGAGAAGATTTTTTAAGATTTAATGTATTTTTACTATACAATCAATAGAGCCCCGCTCTAACACCAGAAACCTGACCCTAGAATTACACATTCATAAAATTCACAATTTACCACCAATTGACATTTTTCCTCATCTAAACTATGTATTTGGTTAGTTTATTCAATACCCAGGAACTGAGAAGAAGATTTTCAAAGTATATATGCATTTTCATTATACAATCAATAGAGCCCAAACCTAACACCAGAAACACTGACACAGCTGGGCCATGAAATTCACAATTTTGGTAGAGGCAGTCTTACTCAATATAACTTTGTAATTGGTTAGTTTATTTAATCCCAGTAACAGAGAAGAAGATTTTCAAAGAAATAATGCAATTTTACTATATAATCTATTTAGCCCAGCACAAGCACTGGAACCCCTGACCCTTGGGCCATGGATTCCACAATTTTGGTAAAGGACTAAATGCTGATTACGATCATGCCAACAGTTTGACTGCTTGATGTCAGGAGTATTGAAGAAGATTTTTAAAGATTGCATCAATTTTCAGTGTTTTGGCCCTACCCCTCAGGCCCCAGGGGGATAGGGACCACGAAATTCAGAAATTTTGTTGCCCGTCACCCATTGTGCTAAAATTGGTTGAAATTGGTTGAGGGGTTTCAGAGAAGAAGCAGAAAATGTTGAAATATTAACACACGACGGACGACACACGGCGACGGACGAAAACAGATAGCAAGGGGTCATCTGAAATACAAACATGATCCTGTATGATAATGACATCAATGCTGAATTATTTTATACTGATAAATGCATATACTGATTATACATTTTGTACATGTTAAAAAACAATAGGCTCGTGGGCCTTATAGGTCACCTGAGCATCATGCAACAAATTTCAAATGATTGGATTTGGTTCATGTTTTAAGCTAGATGCTTTGGCATTCACAATTTTGAAAGAGGAACCATTGCTCATCATAGTTATTATTGCTTATCATAACTATACACTTAGCAATTGCTTAGTTTGTTTACTTACTACCCATAGACAGGGAAGGGGAACAAAACATGCATTTCGACAAATCCGTAATATTCAGTAATAATCAGAAGTGCCCCTGAACATAGATCTACACATTGCACAATTTTTGAAAAGGCACGCTTGCTTATCAAAAATGTTTGATTAATACCAAGGAGCAGATTTCAAACAATTCATTTTCAGTATATTAGTAGAGCCCCCTCCCTCTCCCTCCAGTAAATGTTCAACCAAGCTTCTTTCTTTACACCTCACTTAGATATTGACAATAGTGAAGGAAAAATTTCATGAGAACTGTGCAACAATATATTCAAAAAGTGGTGAGACTCAGATGTGGATATTCAAAAATTCCAAAGAACGTTTAGACAATTTGAAATCACAAGATTTTACCAAAATCAACACCTTAAAAACCTTAACGACTTTTCAACTTAATACACAATCATTCCCCACAATAAATTAAAGTCCAGGCTTTTTGATATCATTGACAGCTGCTTTTTCAATAAAAATGGAACTCGTAAATTTACTTACCTGGGCATTGGCCATTTACAAAATTATTATGATAAAAACATTCTAATTGCACACACAAATACTCTGAAGTTGACATCAAAGAGATGCTTGAATTTCTGATTGACAATATCTATGTGGATTTCGGGGACCAGGTCTTCCAACAATCTCTTGGAATTCCTATGGGTACAAATTGCGCTCCGTTATTAACAGATCTATTTTTATATTCATATGAAGAAGAATTTGTGCAAAATCTTATGCGTGAAAGGACGAAAACACTTGCTGTGGTCTTCAACTCGACATTTAGACATACCGACGACGTATTGTCAATTAGCAATAGTAAATTCCATTCCTACGTCGACAAGATATATCCTGGTGAGCTTTAGACAAAAGATACCACATAGTCTGACACATTTGTTTCATACTTTGATATTTTACATGAAAAAGACGTTAATGGTAATATAACAACCAAACTATATGATAAACGTGATGACTTTAACTTTTCTATCGTCAACTTCCCTTACATTTGTAGCAATATACCTACATCACCTGCATACGGAGTATATATATCTCAGTTGATTCGAAACGGAAGAGCATGTTCTACGTATGAACAATTTCTAAAACAAGGTAAATTATTTACAAGCAAGCTAATGAAACAAGAATATCAGCAGTCTCGATTAAAGTCATCATTTCGTAATATCTATGGTCGATACAATGACCTTGTCAGCAAATACAATTTATCATTGAGTCGAATGCTGACTGACGTTTTTCATACCAATTGTTAGTCCCTTATTTATACACTGAATTGACGACAGATTTTTTCCGTTATTTCCTGATCATGACAAGGAACACACTGCGGGTGTGATCGGTCAGCAGGGAATGCTCACTCCATCCCACCTGATCCAAACTTTGATGTTTCGGAGGTCCGTGTTTGCTCTGCTCCTAATTTGTATTGTTTTATGGACTTTTGAGATTGAATATTGTTCGTTATCCACATCCTTCTTGGTATTCTTGACATTCAAAATTCTGAAAGAAGTGCCCTTGCACATCATAACTATTTCGGTAATTCATCTGCTTACTAGTATTATCCAGGGGCAGAGAAAAAGATTATAATATATTTTTACTATATAATCAATAGAGCCCTACCCTAACACCAGAAACCCTGATGATGGGGTCATGGAATTAACAATTTTAGAAGAGGCAGTCTTATTGAACACAATTATGTACTTGGTAAGTTTCTTTAATACCCAACAGCAGATAAGAAGATTTTCAAAGAATTATTGAAATTTGCACAGTATAATCAATAGAGCCCCTCCCTAACACCAGAAATTCTGATGATGGGGCCATGGAATTAACAATTTAAGAAGAGGCAGTCTTATTGAACACAATTATGTACTTGGTAAGTTTCTTTAATACACAGAAGCAGATAAGAAGAATTTCAAAGATTTATTGCATTTTGCACAGTATAATCAATAGAGCCCTACCCTAACACCAGAGACCCTGACGACGGGGCCATGGAATTCACAATTTTGGCAGAGACACTCTTGTTCATCATAACTATGTACTTAGTTAGTTTATTTAATACTCAGAAGCAGAGAAGAAGCGAACGCTCTACCACTACCGTCAAGGGTACCAACGTATGACGACGGACGAAAAGAGATAGCAATAGGTAACCTGAATTTACTCAGGTGACCTAAAAAGTCAAGTAATTGAATTGTCAAGGAACAAGATAGATTATATTGACATACAAACACAGATATACATCCTAAAATATATACTTATTTTTTCAATTAAGGACCGTTTCCCAGGAATTAAGCAAATGATCTTAGGATTTAGGGGGTCTTCATTAGTTAGAACCAATGAAATAAGACTATCATAGAATAGAGACTGAAAAATTTTGACATTGTTTACTATAATATTACTTAGTCCATGACATTCATGCTACAATGATGATATAAAAGAAAATATACATTTCACCTTGGACTTCCATGTGATCACAAAGTCTAAGATTTCGTCTTTTAGTAAAATTAGCTATCTAAAATTGTGCTTTAAGCAAAATTTTGTTACACCTAAATTGATTTGCCATCAATGAAGGGAGACTGCAATATAACAATATATTCAGGTATTGTGTATAGGTTATAGACGAATGAAAAGTTCGAATACTTTCAGCTGCCATATCAAAACATGAAATAATTGTTTTGTAATTTGTATTGAATCAATTTGTGATTTATGATTGCTTGTGAACATTATTTTAACTTTGATTTATCTATAATGCATTGCTGAAATTCTTACATTTCACAAATGACATGCTTACCCTAATTTCATATTTTTCATTTCTGTTTTAAGGTGGCTAATTTCTTGAGCCTTCATGTTGATTTCTTCCTTCTGCTCACTACAACGCTTCTCCAGTTTCTTAATTTCTGCTTCACTTTCCTTTTTCCTGAGAAAAAAAATATAAATATGTTTACTAAATAATTGTACAGTCGAATGGAAATACTGGCTAGAGAAAAAGAAGATACTTCAAAAATACTAGTATGTTAAGCAATTAAGAAGTGTCTCCGGATATGCACATTGATCATTTTTATATTCCATCAAGATTTGAGTAGTAAGGTTATAAGTAACGCAAAAATAATTCATGGAAACAATTTCCCTACCTATTTTGGGCTTTTTGAAAATCTTTCTTCATTGTATCAACCTCAAATCTCATCATTTTCTCCTGCATTGAATGTTTTTCAATTCTAAAATGTTCAAATGGAATACTATTTTATTTTTTAGCACATATTTTAAATGTAACAGTGATATCTGTCTGTTAAAAACATAAATTCATTTACTTATGATAAATACGAGGGTTGATCCAAAAGTAATGTCACAACTTTAATAAAATTGCTATAAATGGACGTAAAGCAAGTAAATTATAAGTGATGGAAGCTTTGTTTATTTCAAATCAGACCTGAAAAAATCAAAGGAATATGATGTATACTTTCCAAAATATCGGATTTTAAACAATGTGCGTTTATGGTAGTCGCCGCACCTAAAAATAACGTAATATTGCGGATACGCACCGTCATACTTTTAAGCTTTACCCCTTCGTTTCATTAAAAAATATTTGTGATTCGCAAACACTTTCACCAATTCCAATTTCTATGAGAGTTATTGGTACCATTATACACTCACTTGAAACAGTAGCAAAGACAACTTAGAAATTCACATATGCATGTCACTCTATACGTGTGTCTTTTTTTACGTCAGACACCATTGAACGTTTCCGTCCGATCTCCTGTTTTTCGGTCTTTTTGTCCTCTGCTGATCCTGCAGTGACCAATCACCCGCAAATCACACGCCCCAAATTGCTGAAACCATCTATTAAGGTGTCTCTTATTTAGATTCTTTATTCTGTAAGTCTGATTAATTAATGCTACTGTCGCTTATGATGATTCCCATATTTTGAAGCAACAAATGCGTTACAACTCTTCGAGCCGTTTTTTCCATTTCGCCAATCCCTTTGTTCATGCAATTCAATAGAGTAAAACAACAATGTTTATGATTACCAAGTGTTTGTCTTTTTCATTCTACACAAAAATACACTCTATGTTTTAAACATTTATAAATTAAATTCAAATAAACATTATTAAATTAAAATTTCAATGTTAATTAGATTTATATTTGTGCATCTTTTGGTATATTATATTTGATAATATGACGCCAAATATAAAAGATATGGACACTGTGACATTACTTTTGGATCAACCCTCGTAAATACATCAAAAATTTTACAAAACTCATGTCACAAAAAAGAATTCATTAAAAAACGTAATTATAATTGGAAAATAAAAGGAAGATATTGAACTGTCACTATTATGTGAATCAAGTGATACCGTATAAGTGGAAATTTTAGCGAGACGCAAATTTAGCGATTTGTCCTTAAAAACTGGTATTTTATTTTTAGCGAAATGTAATTTCAGCGATTTTAAAATGTTCATTAAAGAAGCTATTACAAATAAAACGCAATTAATTTTTAGCGATATTAAATTTTAGCGATCTCAGCACCCTCGCTAATAATGCCAAAATTAAATCCTCGCTAAAATTTCTACTTATACGGTATTTGTAGAGCAGGACATCAAATGAATAACACTCACGCATTTTGTAATTTTTGCTTTTCTGCTTCGTACTTCTTCTGTTCTTTTTCGCAATGCAAGTGAATGGATTGAATTCTACAAACATGAATGAAAACATCAAAGAAAATCGGGGAAATTTTAGAGTCATAACCACACTACATCGTCATGTCAACAAAAAATGCCACAATGATTATACAACCGCTGAGTCAAGACGAGATCACCCGTGGTAATCCGACGATGATAAAACTTTGGATACACGTAGACAGAAAATTAGATTTATTACATATTAATTTATTTTCATCAGAAAGTAAGAGTACAAAATAAGTCAATTTTCAAAAATGCCTTCAAATTTGAGCTTATTTTATTTCAAAAGTAGCTTCAAGTAGATTGAAACGGTTTTACGTGAGTCACACGTGCAACCTGAAACGCAACTCAGGTCATACAATATAAACTATTTTTATACATTCAAATAGATAGTAAAAACCAAAATCAAATAATGACAAATTACTTTACCTTTTAAGTGCTGCATTTTCCTCCGAGAGTTTCAACATTTTCTCTTGAAGTATCTTAGTGCCAGCACAATCTTCCCTGTTGTAGTTAACACCATATATATAAACATTTAACTTCTAAATTGTTGTAAAAAATTCATCCAATATTTTATCTAATCTTATCATCTGCTTTATTTTCGTCCCTTGTAGTCGCCCGCTTGGCGCATCAGTTACCGCGTTTGCGCTAGAATAGCGAGGAATGGGTCCTTACACAACGGGTTCGATTCCCATGCACTACAAGATGAGTAGACCAGTTCTTCGGCTGAGACCAATAAACCGAGGTTCATCGTCATTGTGGGCACTGGCACAAAAAAGATCCCTTATTGCATGCTCAAAAGATGTAAGTGCCGAGTACAGGTCTGAATTTGCCAAATTTGCAGCCCTCCAACGGTAGGGGGAGGGCATTTCTCTCTTTGGAGTGAAAAATTCTCGATGTGCGTTATACAAACAAACAAAATTTCGCCTCTCGCATTGTTTTCTTTAAAGTGTTTTTATAAACAGTGATTATTTGACTCAGACAACAAATTTTCTTCAGCGGCCATTCACTTTATTAAGAATAACTTCAAATGGATTATAATGTATTGAAACAAATAGAATAATACATGTTCATTTTTTTTACATAAGACATAAATACGAAATTAATTCTAAAATAACATTTCTGACAATCCTTACTAAGATTATATTTATCAATGGATAAATCATTATAATTGAGAAGTTTCTCCTCCATAGAGTAAAGTTGAATAAAGCTAGCGAAAGACTCTGTTTCTTCTCCTTCTGGCCTAGATAGCAAAATTTAAGAAGGCCGCCATACTTAAGGGCCAGTTAATGAAATCCCCCACTTTCATCAAAAGAGAAGAATGGAATAAAGCTTTAGTGCACCGATTCTTTCATTAAAATATTGATACAACAGAATTCCATGACAAATTAGATAGATTCAGTTCATTGAAGCTTTAATCATTTGTTTAATACAACTGAATCAATGCAATTAATAATTATACTCACGGTTTATGAAGTTGAGCAGTGTATTGTTTTAATTCATTGAATTCCTGAACCTTTAATTCAAAGTCTTCAGAAAGACTATCTTTCTCTTGTGTCAGATTTCTTATTTTGTCATCTTTGATTTGTAACCTGAAAAGACATGAAGCAGAACATCAAAAGAGCCTACAAATAAATGAACGATTATGTCATTGAAGATGTGCATGTTATCTTCTCAATTTTACTTATATTCAACTTAATTATTTGCAGTTGATATGCTATTTATATTTTAGTAAAATGTTTTAATTCATCTAAATTTTAATCATGCATTTCAGACTCTATAAATGTACTTTATTGAAAACATTTTCATTCATCCATACAAAAATACATAAGTAAAAAGATTCTACAAAATAAAGTACTATTTTTAAAATAATAATGAATTTTCAATAAATTGTACATAATGATGCCTATTATTGCAATCTTCATCATTTGATGATATCTTACGGGTTTTTAACCATCAGCTCAATAAACCATAAGCTTCTGTAAAACTTTGAGATCTTTGATAGTATCAGAGGAAAAAGAATATCTCATACTTACTCTATTTCAAGTCTTTGTTTCTCTTTACTATACTCTGAGACTTCATCATTTTTATTTGACATCTCCAACACAAATTCTTTGTTTCTTCTTTCCAAAGCCTCAATTTGATTATTATACGTTCTTAACCTATATGATTAAAATGTTTCTGATTCAAAATAATTATTTCATATAATAATAGCTCATACTGGGGCATCAGAGTTTCACAAACACAATTTGTTCTGCTAAATACTCTAGCTTTTTTCCCACCACCACCCCCTTCCTGCAACGAAGTTATTTGGAGGGAATACAGTAACAAAATCGTGTGTGTTCGTTTGTGGGTGATTTAATTCTGTGTGAAATGGAAGTGACGTTATTTGCATTGGGATCAGTGTCGAATACTGCATTGATTTATATATATGATTTCTGTGAAGGGATGCTCCGTCTTGCATCGATCTTGTTTTTCTGTTTGCTTGTTTTCTTACGTGTGTTTAAGATGCTCATTTTCTGTTAGGGTGGATTCGACTTTCAGGTTCCATGTTTCTGATAGCTCTTTCTCGGTGCTTTGCCTACAGTAAAATTGACCAAAATTGATTTGAATACTAAAATAAAGAAAAACATTTAACTTATCATGATATGATCATTAAGCAATCAAACATAAGTTTTTAGCAAAAAAAACAAAAAAACAAAAAAAAAAAACAAATATATAAATAATTTAGAATTTGTTGACTCCCATTTATTTCCCTATTTATCTTAACTTACTGATCTTCATTGTGAATATTTACACAAGGTATATATATATATATCCAATAAAACTATATATATATATATATATATAGTTATATATATATTTTTAATATAACCTTGATGTCAGTAATTTTATACTAAGTTTACCTGGAGCTCGATCTAAAATAAAGTGATATCTCGTATATAAAGACCAGATAAAGATCCCATTGTTGTCCGAAGAGAAAGGGATAACAAGACTGTCTTTCAATAAGAAATCATCCAGAAAACAATACTAGAATATATCAGAGAGTGATCTCTCATCACAGCCGTGACAAAATGCCTCCAAATTGAAATCAAACGAGCTCTTTTGTTTTTCTCTGAATCCGACTTCTCAAATTTCGGCAAAATCCACCAAGCGATTAATACTTCAGACTCAAAAGATATTTTGATAGTTGTTCAACTTGGTGTCTTAATTGCGCTGAATAGTTGAAATATTTCACTCTTTGAAAAAAAAGCTTTGGAAAATAAAATGACTGAAAATTGTGGAAACTTCACGACTTTTTTAATTATTACTGCATGTCTGTTTATGTGATGTTGGCTTCAACGAATTTAGACGTAGAACACTTCGATTTTAAGCACTTGAAAGATTATTTCGAAATGTTAAATTTGTGAATATTGAAATTTTTAAGTTATTTATATGAAATGCATTGTCTTTGAGTAATATTTCTACCTTATTAAACAGTTCGGCGTACTAGTACTGTAAGTTATTTTAATGCACTTGGTCCGAATGTATAGAGTCATTGTAGATATTTATAGATTAACAGATAAATTAATTGGAATGAAATAGCTGTTAGCACCATGGATTTAAGGACAGATAAGTATGTTTATAAGATAAAATGACTCCCCAATAAATTGAATTATTAAGCGTGTAGACTACAGGGGCCTTGATTAGGGAGAGATTGCCGAGCTCAATCAGACAATATCACGCCCATCACGGCTTGATATTGTACGATATAAAACAGAACTTGTTTGTCGTTCGTATCTATGCTTCCAATGGAGATCTATCTATTTAATCCAGTGGCGTATTTCATCGTGTCAAGTATATATTGTCTTGGATAAAAAGATGCATCCCTTGATATGTTTGTTTATCTTGGACGTGTTGAAATTTGGTACAATTCTAATACAAAATGATAAATATCTGCACTTGGAATCAAATCCTTAAATTGGTGTTTAATCTCAAGGCGTATTGAATTTGTTTTGATCAAATAAAACTTTGGCAAATATGCATTTCTCTACTTTAAGAAAATCAAGTTTGGTTCAGTCAGAACAATTAATAAAAGTAAGAAAGTACTGATAAAGCGTTCAGCAATTAAACAAGAATATGCATTGATCCAAGTATATTATTTACAAAAAAGTCGAGAAAACAATTGCCGAGTAGCGAGGATATATAAATCTTTTGATGTAAGGGTCGATGAAAACAAGCAATACTCAATCTCTTAAATCAAGTATTAAAAAACAAACTACGTTTATGTGAAACACTGATGCCCCTTAATGACAGCTTGTAGCAAGGATTGGAGTTTTCTCAAATGCAATTCAAACTCCAAGGTAATGTTCAAAATTTTTTGTATCCAAAGGAAGGTCTTGTGGCAAGGAATAAGTGGTATACCTGTGAAATATGAGTGTTAAAAGTTACGACCAAAGTTAAGTTTTTTAAAGTGGGGAATGCCAAAGAGGAGAGATTTGGGGCAGACTTAAAACGAATAGACAAGAATTGGAAAGAGATAGAAAGCACTGCTCAGAATAGAGGGGACTGCATGGAGGAATCGTTTCAGCGGCCTATTCCACAAATGGGATAGCAGGCATAAGTAAGTAAGTAAAGTTTTTGCGGACAGATAAAAAGACAGACGGACGCACGGGACAAAAAACTATAAACCCCCAATCATTGATTATGGGAGCATAAAACGAATTATAACAGGACAAAAACACGGACCCATGAAACACTCGTGGTGGGATCAGTTGCACAGGGGGCAGTAAGCATCTCTAACTTATGAGCGTTTTGTGTACATGTATTGTTTAGGAAGAATTACTCGGTAGTCAGTGTAAAATCAATTACCTTACAAATATTTGAAACATGTCAGGCGACCCAGCGACATGATGTATAAATTTACAAATGCAATGAAATATATATGCCATTTTAAGGCTTAAACAGGAATGTTGAAATCCTTGTAGCATCAATTTGCCAGTAGTTTTCCTCGGTAAAAAATTGATTGTATACATTTTGCAAACTCTTTGGTCTTTAATGATTTGGAAGAACCACTTGCTTTGACCTTAAATTCGAGATATGTATTATCAATAAAGACTTTCATTCATATGTCGACTTGATACACCCTTGTGAGGTTGAAATACTAGTAGTTGATACAACTGAGTATGACATGTCTGTTCCATAATTTGATATTTTACTGGAAAAGACGTAAATGGTAACGTAATATCAAATGCTTATGATAAAACTGATTACTTTAACTTTTGTATTATGTCAACTTCTTTTAATATCTTTATTACCTGCAGATGAGGTTTGTCTCCGGGTTGATTAGAGATGCAAGGGAATGCTCACTAAAACTTCTAAAACGAGACAATATCAGCAGTTTAATTAAAGTCATCCTTTAGCAAGCTCTATATAGTCTCTTTGATTAAGTTTACTTAAACGTACTAATAGCATTTTGCAAGTTAATAATCTCGGTCATTAAGTCGAACTCTAGTTGCTTACTGATTTTTGGGCCTGTATTTGCACACGGAATTATCTACGAATTTTTTCCGTACACCCGATCATGTAAAGGAGCACACGGCGGTTTTCCGGTCGAGAGGGGATGCTTACTCATGCATGGTACCTGATTCCACCTCTGGTGTTTTTTTAGCTCCTTGTTTACTTTGCCTCTTATTTGTATTGTTTTAAGGGGATATTAGGACATGATAACTGCTTGTTATCTTCATACCGTATAGATGGAAATTTTAGCGAGACGCAAATATAGCCATTTGTCCTTAAAAACTGGTATTTTATTTTTAGCGAGATATAATTTTAGCGATTTTAAAATGCTCACTGAAGAAGCTATTACAAATTAAATGCGAATAAATTTTAGCGATATTCAGTTTTAGCAATCTCAGCACCCTCGCTAATAATGTTAAAATTAAATCCTCGATAAAAATTCTACTTATACGGTATTTCGTACATGAAAAAGATTAAGATGACGAACAATGATTTATTTATCTTGAACATTGTTTCCTGAAAACAGATCGTGAGCAGGACAAAACATAGACCTCTGGTAGTACATGGTGTAAGATGATGTGCCTAGAAGGCATCCCAAGTCAACCGCTCACACCTGTCGTGAATCCGCTGTAAATAGGTAAATTAGGGCGAATAGCCCAAAACATTGAAATAAAATTAACGCCAACATTGGTATAAATCGTTTCAGTCAAAATTCAAACCAACAAAAAAAAGGCCATCTGAACAAGTCAGAAGTGGAATTTGTTAACTAGAATAAGGAAGCATCCTATCCTACATGTTAAATACGACCGAACAATAAGTTTTAATGGCAAACAAGGTCATTTTATGTTGAAATGTAATTTGCAAAATGCAGACTTTAATAATCGAGATTATTGAAATCCCTGTAACATCAATTTTTTAAAGTAGCTTGTCTCGGTTAAAATTAGATCGTACTCTGAACATTCTCTTTTGCACCGAATCACTGGAGACATAATAAACACAATATGTATAGGTGTTATTGCAAATAATGCATCTTATTTCAAGGTTGCAGACATAAACACTTCTTTTATTTGGAAATGTTCAGATGAATATTCATGGGGACTTTAGCCCATGAGTGTTGGAGAATAAAAACGAAACGAAATCTATTGCAGATTTTCGTCGTTGGCAGTAATTGCAAAATTTGTGTTCACTTGGACTACTGTTTGTGTGCAAAATCTGGGCTAATTTGATACATGAAAGATAGGAAACTTCATGTTTTAATATTTGACAACTAGGGGACAAACTTTTTTTTGTAAAGCAATGATCGAGCCCTCTACCAAAGTGGTGAAATTTGTATTCAATGGTTCCAGGATTTGGTTCTTCGGGAAGGGAAAATTTTACACAGTACGAGGGGTGATCAAAAAGTTCGCAAACTATCTCTATATCTACAAAACCACAATTCAGATTAGAATGAAATTCGGTACACGCATAGCCATACACAAGGTCTATAAATAGCATATGCTGAATAAAGTTTCTCTCCTTGTTTGTGACGTCACAATGTGAAAATGACGTCACTATTTAGGTCACTTGTGACGAAAAATGGTTGTCTCAGTCGAACTCGTTCAACAAACGACTGTACAATTTATTGTAATATCTTAGAAATCCCTCTACAGTATCATATAATAATTTGTACACAGTTTATAGAGATAAATGAGTTCCTATAAATTCAATTAATGATTGGATTAATCGTTTTAGTGAAGGAAGGCTGATGGTTAAAAATGATACTTGTCATCTTGCCCAGTGAAAGCAAGTTTGAAAAGATATGTATTTTTAATTAAGCAATTTGCTATCAAAGACCTCCAATTAGCACTTTGAGAAATAGTTGAATATTTGAACAATGATATAAGTATTAAATACCTAAGATATCGTTTACTTTAGATTTTAAACATATTAGATATGATAAAAAGGATGCACCCATTCTCTATCCACCTTGAATAAAGGTCTCACCTGAGACAGAAGATTTGTGTTTTAATGGTCGCCATGCTTATTTTTGGAAAGGATGTTATTATCCACCCATTAATTCTGTTGCCGAGATATGACCATTTCTGACAAATTAACTGTTCTTGTCATAAAAATTAACTCACATGGAAAGAAATATAAAACTCGGAGAAATCTTTTAACTTTTGTGACAGAACGCTACGGAGGGGGTCACGTGACCGCCAATATCACGTGATTGGCGCATGCGCAGAACGGTGGTTGATGTGCATTAAAATCGGGGAGGATTAATTTAAAATATAATCAACATTAAAACCAAATATTGTTTCTTGTATGGAAGTTTCCGTTGAAAATTGAGACCAAAAGTTGTTGAATTTATACCCGGGGTCATTTTACAACAGATTGATAATTTTTTCCTAATCCCTGATGATCAAGTTGAAAATTGACCCCACCTCAGAGTTTGAACATTTTTTTTAAATTGGAAATTGTTTAATGGGATTTATCAGTATCTCTGTATTTATATTCCGATTTAAATTTATCCCTCTTCAAGAATAATAGAAATAAACCTATCATCCCGTGTTTATAGGTACATTTTGATCAGTGCACGATTTCAGCATGACAACTTTATTTTTTGACAATGCTTTCTAAAATCCATAGCATCCATAAATAAAAATAAAACTATGAATAGGGCATAAAACAAAAATCTTTGAAATCTGGTGTCTAGAAGAAAGTGAGCCCTATATATATTGATCAGGTGGACGAAACATCCCATCTAGTCAAATTCAGTATAAATATTAACAAAAAAAATAGCCTAAAATTAGAATGAAACACATCGGCCAAAATGAATCCAATGATAGGTTATATTTGTGAAAAAGATCAATATAGCGACCATAGCATGTAAGTAATGCTGACTTTAAGCAAGGTTGGTGAAATCCCTGTAACAAACATAAGTATCAGTCACATTATCCAGCGATGGGGTATACGATGAGAAACTGATGCGTTTATTGATGAAAATGGCATGGTTGCCGGCCGGGCACCACTAGTGATCGGAAGGTGACTGAGGCCATTTTGAGAATCGGTGGGGTCATCGGTGGGAAATAATTCGTAGTTAAAATTCAGCGATGTCTCCAACGATGCCTCACATCGCTCCTCATCGGCAACCCATCATTAACACATCTTTCACGGATCGGCCGATGTATAGCTGAGCATCGTCCAATACCCGTTTAATCTGAAGTCATCGGGGGGTTGAGTGGTGTCCAACAGATAACGGACGATCATCGGTCGATGTTCGACCAAACATTGACCCGTAGTCGACCCACGTACGAACGATGTTCACCAATGTATGAGCGATGTAATATACATCGGCCGATTATCCTGGAACATCGTTTTATGATTAGCGATGCTTCGCTGGGCCTTTGAAAGTCCGGCCGGCAACCATGACATTTTTATCATAAAAGGCATTGGTTGCCCATCGTATATCCATCGCTGGATAATGTGACTGATTCTGTAAGGACTATTAGGCCGATGTGGACCGATGTTAAGGCATCGTTAACATCACGGATTACAAACGATTACCACCGGTCTACGGCTTCCGACCGGGAAATGTGACCTAGGCATTATCTGTCAGTAGCCTGCTTCGGCTTAAAAATTGACCGATTTCGGAGCACAACCTTGAAAATGAGATTATTATTATTCTAGAACAAATCATTCTTATTCGATACAATGTTACTCGTATTCGATTAGTTGTTATTCCTATTAGATAATTTTTAATTTGTATTCGACATTTCGCTATTCCCATTAGAGGAAATGTGACAATATGATTCACGCGTTTTCTATTCGATGTCATTCATATTTGAAAACATGTGATTCCTATTCGCTAATTTTGCTATTCCTGTTCGATAATTTTATCTTTCTTATTTGATAATTATTTGGTTTATATGCAATAAAGTTGTTCGAAAACCTTCTAGCATACATTTCTTTTCGAAAAAATACGATTACTTTTCGATAAACTTCTTGTCAATAATTATTGCATAATTTTATCTCTCCTATGCAAAGTTTTTCTTATTCTTTTTCAATAATTGAATTCTGGGAAATATGACAAAACTAGAACTGGTTGTAAACTCAATTAAATAGGAATGACATGTTTAACATCATTATCAAATTTAAACCATTTTATTTTCGAATAGAAATGACAAAATTTTCGAATAGGAATTACAAATTTTCGAATAGAATAACAACTTCAAGGTGATGAATTCTCGAACAGAAATAACTTTTTTTCACACAAGACTAACAATTAATCGAATAGGAATCATATTATATCGAACAGGAATGACATGATTTAGAAAAAGAAACCAAAATTTTTGATAACATAAAAGTATAATAATGCAACGTTTTACTCGGTGTAATAGCGGAATACTAGTATTACTTTACAAATAGGAAAGCTCACTGTGGAAAAGATGAAGAAGAAATCATTTCTTTTCTTATACAATATAGTTTTAAATTGCCTTCATCAACCATAGTCAGTAAAAGTTCCAAAAATGAAACAGTTGTGGCGATTCAGTGGTGACTTTAACTTAAAGTTTACTCGGATATACAATGTATATCGAGTCGATATATGAACTTAAGTAACTATTGTTACTTGATCATACGTCATCAGTGTATCTAAATGTTGATTTGAACCCCACAACAAGTGTTTTCTTCTTGTCATGTAAAGTTTTTAAAAATACATTCTGATTCTGCTCCCCGTTCCCGACGCCTACGTACGAGTACGTTATGGTATTTACTACCAAAAAGTGATATCACCTATTTGAATACTCAGTAGGTGATATCACTTATTCGAATAGGTGATAACACTTATTCAAATAAGTGATATCTTTTATTCGAGGGGAATATATAGGTGATATCATCTAGTCGAATAGAATAGGTGATATTACCTATTCAAATAGGTGATATCACTTTTTGGCAGTAAATGCAAAAACGTCGACTTATACCAATGAATTAAATCACAGTTGTGAAAACCTAGACATAAATATTTGTTATTATGCTGTTGAATTTTGAACCGGTTTCATGATCAAAATTCAACGACCCAGCTCAGTTTTCAACGGACTAGGGTCTTAATTCAACACCTTTGGTCTCAGTATTCAACGTTGAAAAATGTCTTCCGGGTCAATTTTCAATCCGGGTCAAAATTCAACGTTACACCGGCAACCACGTCATTTTTATCACAAAACGCATCGGTTTCTCATCGTATACTCCATCGCTGGATAATGTGACTGATTCTTTAAGGACTACTAGGCCAATGTGGACCGATGTTGGGGCATCGCTCACACCACAGATTACCATCAATTACATATACCACCGGTTTACGGTCACCGGCAGGGAAATGTGACCTAGGCATTAGTCAAATTTTCCGGCCAGTGGATAACTACAACCTATTTTCTACCGATGACCCCCACCGATTTGCCAAATGGTCTCAGTCACCGTCCGATTACTATAGGTGTCCGGCCGGCAATCACGCCATTTTAATCAAAAAAGCATCGGTTTTTCATTGTATACCCCATCACTGGATAATGTGACTGATACCTAACTTCATGTACACTGAAGTCAATCCAAATTACATATCACATGGCACAAAGTTTTTTTTCATAAAGTAATTTTTGAACACAACCATATCTTATGGAAAGAGACGGGAGTAACAGAAACTGCTCTAATTTGTAATCTGACATATTTTGGTATTTTGAAAGTCGGGCAATTTACATGTATATTTTTAGGTGGTTCACTACATAAAAAATCGTGTATCCATAAAATATCTCGTTTAAAAGTGAAAGATTTAATCATTGATAAGATTAAAAAAAATTATATATCATTTATTTGAGTTCTTGTATGCTTTCAGTGGGAAAATAATGTTTTGATTGATAAAAACTTAGAGATTGAACATTGCTGTACTATGTATATTAGTTGAATAAAAAGTACGGCAACTGATCGAGCGTTCCAAGAAAAAAAAATAGGTACACCTTTATATTTCAATCTGAAAAAAAAAATCTTTAAAAAATAAATTTAAATGACAAACATCCTCCAGTGGGACTTAATTAACCATCGAGCAAACAACTGCAAATTATGATTATAACAAATTAGGTGCCATGCAAATTCAGTTGTAACCATTTTTTGTCTTTTGAACCAACTGAATACTTTTTTCTGCAAATTGCAAATGTTCACCTTTCGCCGATTCGGTCAAGTTCGTATTAACAAAGAAACATTTTATTGAAAAAAAAAAACAAAAAAAGTGTTAAATCATTCATATACATCTGGTTATTTAAACCTCTTTATTTTGTGTCAACAAAATCGGAATACAGACATATTAACGGTTCATTCTCATACAGCTTTTTTCTTACGAAAGTAGAAAGGCCTTTATCCTAGCAAATCCTAACACCAAATTGGCATGCAATTTTGAAAATTGGAACATTACCTTTCATACAGCAATAATTTCTTGTGTATGTCTTCTTCATCACTTTCACCAGCGGAACTAAATAAAATATATCGAAAACGCGAATTTTTTTATTTTCGTTTCCTCTTTTGTTTTCTTGAAGTGTAAATGTACATTGTATATTTGCAAATATAAATATATTTATTGCAGAAAATACGTTTTAATTTTATTAATAAATATGAATTATGTATAATCTGATGAATCTAGCTTCCATCCCTTACTAAATAAATGTATTTTTATAAAATCGTTTGATCTTTACTTTGCAATTGGAGATTAACCAGTTTTGGACCGTAAGTGTTATAGATATATTTTTACATGCATATTTCTTGTCACAAGACATTCCCTTGGGTAGCAACAATTTTGATTTCTTAAACTTGAACTAAAAAATTACTTTGGAAAAAAAACTTTCGAGCAGTTCGTGCCATTACTTTCATGTTTCATATGTGTTATTTAATTTAACCTTGGGAGTCAATAAAATTTGACCCATTTACCTTGGAAAGTTATTGACATGTGCAAAACTTTATACATGGATATAACTTTTGAAACATCAGTGCTAGGGTTTTTTTAACGGTGATAGGAAAATTCTTGGGTATTATCATCTTTTAAATATCTCTTGATCTTGGAGTGTAACTTAGTATAAGTTGCTGCCGTTTTCAAATAGAAAGCTTTAAATAACGTATATATCCCTTTGCCCATTTTCAAATAGAAAGCTTTAAATAACGTATATATCCCTTTGCCGCTTTTGAAGTGTTATCCTAATTTTTGTGGCGTATTAATTAATATGCTCTTTTTTTCAAGATACGTTTGGTAGTATATCTTTGGAAGTACATAAAACACGATACCTATCCTCCCCAAGGTACTGGGCGTGGTCTTCATATTCATCAGTACTTTCGGTATCATACTGGTTATGTGGAGAACTGCAGCAATAAAACAATAACATATAACTGTTTAACAATAAAATCTAAGTTAAAGTCGTATATTTACATTGCAGTAGCATGTAAATTTTAATTTAATGTTTATGAACTTACGATGGAGGCAATTTGGTAAATCTTCGCTCTTCACACAACCTTAAAATAAATATTGTTAACAAATATTAACCGCACAATTTATTAAAATATATGAAATATTAATATATTTATCAATACTTTATACATAATTTTCTTCTTCCTTAATTGTTTAGAAATCATTACCTTGGACTTCTCAAAGACGATGGATGTTTAGATGATCTTTTGACGTTTACAGGCACTTCAGTATAATGTCTGTAACATATATAATTTCAAATTAAAGATTGTACTTGAAATACGAGTGCATAACGTGTATTTGGTGGTATGTTTTAGAAACAAAAGAACAGTGTATACTTACCCAATATCATGTTTATTTAACCACTCTTTTGTTGGTTTTTCGTAGTTACGTGACGTTTTCGGAGGACTAACACTTCTCTTCTTAATTTTTCTAGAAACACAATTTGCTTTAAAATATTTCTGCATTAGGATAGAGAGAAAGAGAATCTAATGACATCGTTATCTGGACTTTTCTGCAACCATCTCAATTGCTAAATGTTACTATAAATATTGAGGAAAATATAAATATCATCAAGAAATGATCATGATTACGTCTTTGACATTTTTATAACTTGTGCGGAATCTGTTTCCATACCTTTTAGGGAGACTAGTACTTCCTCGTCCTGTCATCTTCTCATTTACTGAAAAAAAAAAAATGAAAGTTTTCCCTGTTATATTCTTCCCCTGGTCTCGATAGCTATTGTTCTTATGAGATACCAAACCAACACATATAAATTCGCTGTATTGCCAAAATATAAACCTTTCTAATTTATATATACATGTATGTGTTTGTTCTTAAATTTGTGCCTCGATTTCTTTAAGAAAAGACATCGCGAGGTTGTTAGTATTTTTATATCAAGTACGTATATAAAGATAACGGATTTCTTAAATCCCATTAATTAACAGAAGAGACATAACGCCTTTCAGGTATGTACCGTCTATATTATTATGCTTTAATCAAATTATGAGCTATTATGACCTTAGATGTAGAAACTAAAATGCGGCAGGAGGTTTTTTCAGCTCAACAAAATGGATTAAAAAAAAACGGTTAAGATCTACATGAAGGATTTGAATGCTAATATATCATATCATATTTTGGCTCATGAACGCGCATAATTCAGGATATATATTTAATTCATACACTTTAAGATGTAACGAGTAATAAATTCCTTAAGCTTGTATTTCAAAGGTTTTTGAGCATTGCGATTTCTCTCAATACTAACAAACTCCTTAGTAAATTGATTATTAGCCTTAAAAATATTTGCTATAAATAGAAAAGGGTTATCTACCAATCAAACTGCAAGATTTAAATCGAAGCGCAAAATTTTTGCATGTTCATACACGAAAATATACTATATGTAAAAAAAAAATTAAATAAAGAAAACATTAGCTCGAAAGTGTTGTTAAAGACATTATCCCTTGTGGTTCAAAAGAATTTATATGTTTAACTTTTTAAAACGTTCTCCAGAGTGTTTATACAAGACATTCTTTAATGTGTTTCTAACTATAATATAATTTTAAAAGTTAAACTGAACAAAAAGAGTAAAAGTACATGTGAAGTAACATATTTTACTCACGTTTTCATCACCAGAATGACTGGGTTTTTTCTTTATGCGAATATTTTTAATTCCATAATGTACCTAAATTTATTTGTACTATGTTTTATTCAAAACGTTTATCAAATCGAAAGTAGAAATATCGTATTACAGATTTGAAATAAATGCGACCCATTAGCTGCAAAACTGGGTAAAATTAATATTTTGCATACAAAAAGAGACACTTACGATGAATGTCGTCGATAATAGTTTGTCATTTCTAATTTTCAAAAATGATTGACAATTACTGAACTACATTTCCTTGCCCATATGCCAGCCTGCTCGACATGAAATTGCATCCTTAGAATACGAGTTATTCCGCTTATCGTATATAAACATAGCAACTGTCTGTAAACACTGGGGAAAGGAAGACTTTAAATTAAGTTCTGTCTAAATATATAACTGGTTATTGTACGAATTCATGGGAGGTTTTTTGAAGAAAAAAAAATCATTCACTTGAATCTTAAAAATTAAAGATTTTTAGTAAATAACTAGTGACAAATCAAAATATGGAAGTAAATGTATTGTTATATCGTATTTCGCCGCTAATTGACTTGCCCAGGATGCGAAACGTAATAAACAGGGGAAGACAAAACTGTATCTGTTGTGTGACTGTCTTAAAATTTTTCCAATGTATTTAACTGGAAATTTCCATATTCAAACGATATGCGAGTACAGCGTTTTTACTGGCGTATTTGGAGGGTTGATGGGGAGGGACGCTTTCCCTGACTGATGTGTCCAAAATGTACATAATATTTAATAAATCAGTTTGGTGTGGATGTGGGCTCCCTACTCTGACCGCAAACAAGTCAGGTCCATACAACTCTTATAAACTCAATTTTATTTTCGCCTTTTATCCTTGAAATTTCATTCAGATATTCAATGTACATGTATGAAACTCTTTATATGATATTAGAATAATCAGTCTTATGACATTAATACGTTTAGATCAACTCTCGTAGTTTGATTAGACGAATTCCTACATATTTACATTTCCAATGTCTTTTTTTTTGAGATAAAATTACTATTAAGTAATGTACTTTATTTCTACATAAATGTACTGGATCATCAATAGGCGCGATTAAAAAAAATCATGTGTGGGGCGGGACAGAAGCAGGGCTTGTACCACGTGGATTGGCGAAAATATAAGAAAAAACTGTCAGATTAAAAGATTTTATCGATTTCATGATATCTTCGGCGTTTATGCAATTTATCACGCAAGCCAATCGATTGATCATATCATGAAATCGAAAAATTAGACGGTTAATTATTCCTTAATTAAAAGTCACTATTATAGAGGTATGCAGAGAAATAAATAAATAAAACCAACAAACAGGGAAATATGATAAAAGACAATTCATTATTGACTTGTGTATTTTTACGATATATTGGAGAAGTAAAGTTGAAAAAAACTGTTGCGCATCTTAAAACTGGAAATTTCCATAACTGAGCTACGCGGGCGGTGAAGGATTTAACTGGCAATTTTGCGAGTTGAACAAGAGTTTGATAGGCAAAAAACTCGAGCATGCATCTTAGTTATTACTTTAATGTCATCAAAATGTACTGTTACATGTAGCTTGACATGAATCTTCAAAGAAAAGCAGAAACAGTATGTACCATAATGCGTCAATTCTTAGATGACTGTCACAGTATAAAATTTAAAGTGTAAATTTATCATATGAAGTAAGATAAGACCATAATTTAAATGTAAAAAGTTACTTTCGTTCTCAAGTAAGATTATCCTGACAATATCGCCTAATTCGTGCACAAATTCATGGAAATTATGGAGGCAACGAACATTATTGAAGCAAGGAAGGTTATGGATTAAAAAGCCACCACGTTTACCATAGATTTGTTTTTATTATGTGTTTATTATCATAGATAACTGCTTCTGAAACCTTCAAATTATACATCGTATCTTGTGTTTGGTCTTCAACAAACACGTTGTCAGAAATCATTGTGAATCAACACAAAGGTTCTATGAATTTTATAATAATGGGACATCGTTGTTGGTTTCATCATTGACGTTTATGTAAAACTGGAGACGGTCTTCCACATTCCAATGGACCCCAGCATTAAGAGTTTATTTGTATGCCGGCCTGTTTTGTTTTGTTTTTTAATTTTTATAAATCAAAATATATTCAAAAATTATTTACACGAAAATAAAAACGTGTTGTGACCTTCAATTAATTCGACATTCAGATATATCGACGACATTTTGTCAATCAACATTTTACTAGTCTCTTCCATTAATATGGATCATGATATTAAGGAATTAAAAAATCAAAATTTTCTCAATAATTTTAAAGTGAAAGACACCAAAAGTCTGTTATCTTACTATTTTCATCGTTGTTTGTTATAATTTTTTTTCGAACTATGAAATGGAACTTTTGAAGAGAGTTTGAATTGAACAGAAAAATGTCATTTCTTGATTTTTCTGTTTCAGGTCCAGTTGACGTCTCATAACTTTGAAATAGGTCTAAACTTGATATTTTTTCAGCAATTCGAAAATAAATTAATTAGAATATTTTGAGTGTAGTTTCGAGCAGTCGCCCGCGTAGCGCAGTGGTTAAAGTGTCCTCTAGAGTCGCGAAGTAAGGAGTTGATCCTTACGTCGCGGGGTTCGAATCCCACTGTGGGACGTGGACGTGGTATAAACCGAAGTCCTGTGTTGCAGTAGGTGCTGGCACGAAAAAGATCCATCACTGCTAAATGGCCGTAAAAGCCGAGTATAGGACAAAATTTGCAGCTCTCCACCGCCAAGTGCATGGTGGCGTCTCCTTATAGTAAAATATTCTAAAGAGGGACGTTAAACAACATGCAAACAATACACAAAATCAAACTTCGAGCAAACAAAGTTGCACCTGATTATAGCATGTTTCCATTGTTATACCCCGCTTGAAATATGGGAGCCTCGGGGATATCCGTCTTCTGTCTGTACGAACATTCGTTACGCTTTGGGGTACCCATCTCTTATCCTATTATACCACTGAATGGAATTTTCTGAAACTTTCACAGAATCTTTATTACATAGTGCCATCATGCACCTTCTATTAACTTTTGGATCTTACACCTATTTTGGGTTTCCCAACGCAAAACATGGACATGGTCATTCTTTCTGTAATATTGAAATGTAATTCATCTCTTATCCGCAACTCCTCCTATACCGCTAAATAAAATTTAATGATACTTTCCAGATTCTTCATCACATGATACCCTTGTGACCCCCTATTTTACTTATTTATCTGACACTTATTTCGGGTCTCCCAGAGTTAAACATGGACTTAGCCATATGAGAAGCGAGGTATTATGAAGAATATGGAGATAACGAGCAGTATTCAATATCAAAGTCCATAAAACAATATAAAATAGGAGCAGAGCACCTCCGAAATATCAGAGGTGGGATCAGGTACCATGGAGGAGTGAACATCCCCTGCTAACCGGTCACACCCGCCTCCTTGTTCTCCTTGTCATGATCAGGTAATAACGGAAAAATCCGTTGTCAATTCAGTGTATAAATAATGGACTAACAATTGGTATGAAAAACGTCAGTCAGCATTTACTCAATGATAAAATGAATTTGCTGACAAGGTCATTGTATCGACCATAGAACTTACGAAATGATGACTTTAAACGAGTCTGCTGATATTCTTGTTTCATCAAGTTGCTTGTCAATAATTTACCTCGTTTTAGAAATTGTTCATACGTAGAGCATGCTCTGTCTTATGGAATCAACTGAGATTTATATACTCTGTATACATGTGATGAAGGTACAGTGTATATTGCTGCATAAGTAAGAGAAGTTTGCGATAGAAAAGTTAAAGTCTTCACGTTTATCATATATCTTAATTGTTAGATTAATTACAATTAATGTCTTTTTCAAGTAAAATATTCAAGTATGAAACAGATGTGTCAGACTCTGTGGTATCTTTTATCTCAAGCTCATAAGGATATATCGTATCGACGTAGGAGTGGAAATTACCTTTGTTAATTGACAATGCGTCGTCAATATATCTAAAAGTCGAGTTGAAGGCCACAGCAAGTGTTTTCTTCTTTTCATGCCTAAGATTTTGCGCAAATTCTGCTTCATATGAATAAAAAAAAATAGGTCTGCTAATAACGGAGCTCCATTAGCACCCATAGGAATTCCAATAGATTGTTGGAATATCTGGTCTCAAAAACCACAAAGATTTTGTCAATCAGAAACTCAAGCATCTCTTTGATGTCAACTTCAGAGTACTTGTGTGTGCAATCAGAATGTGTTTTAACATAATAATTTTGCAAATGACTAATGAGCAGATAAGTTAATTTAGGAGTTCCATTTTTATTAAAAAGCAGCTGTCAATGATATCAAAAAGCCTGGACTTTAATTTATTGTGGGGAGTGGTTTGTATAAAGTTGAAAAGTCATAAGTGTTTAAGCTGTTGATTTTGGTAAAATCTTGTGATTTCAAATTGTCCAAAATTTCTTTGGAATTTTTGAGTATCCACATCTGATTCATACCACTTCTTGAATAGATTGTTGCACAGTACTCTTTAAGTTTTTCCTTCACTACTGTCAATATTTTAGTGAGGAGAATTGAATGAGGCTTGGTTGAACATTTACTGGAACCCGCAATGTATCTTTGTTTGTAAGGATGCTTATGAAGTTTCGGAATCCAATTTATATAGGGTAGTTCAAATTCATTTTGGCTCTGTGGAATATTAAAAATTTAGGGAGCTCATTGCTCACAGTAACTCTAATTTTACTATCGTACATTCACATCCGACGTATACTGATATACATGTATGTTCGTATCTTAAAAATCTATTGAAACATATTACGTTTATACAGGTTGAGACGATTTGCGAGACTCATGATTTTTCAAATAATGTAAAACAATGTAAGAAAAGTCTTATAAATTCTTTCAATTTTTTAAATTTAAAAACATATTGTTCAATAGTTTTTTTCTCTCATATATACATATATATGTACAATTAAAATTATCAAAATGTTTATTTTTGTGATATAGAAAATATCACTCCATTTCCATTGCGTTTACAACACCTTTTTGCAAAACATCTGCTTTATATAACAAA